TTCCTTCTTATTTCTTCGGGAAAATACTTTTTTAAAATCGAAAAGCACTTGGATGCATTGTTCAAAGGATTCACACATGATTTAATCATTCTGATTAAAACACAGATTCTATTTCCTTTCATTTTTCATAGTTCAGAATTTCTTTTTTTACTTGTCTTTACTACACTAGGATCTGGAAGAGTTGTTATGTGACCTGTGTTCTGGTTGATGTAAGGGATTAGCCAATCAAATGGTCTGTTGCAGTGAGTTCTTGGTGTGTGACACACAGATCTATGGGTATCCTACTAGAAGCATCAACACTGATTGGTTAATCAAATGCCTGACATCATAGGGTCCAAAGCCGCTAGTATGACCCCTGACACGACCTCCCACTACAACTGGTCAAATCTTCATGTAGTAGAGGCCATCGAAAGTATAAAAAATGAAACGAAATTGGCTATTTATTTCTCAAGACCCTGAAGAACAGAAAATTAAATTGGTTTAATTGGCCAAAACAATGGATGATATCTATCTATACATTTATAATACTATAATTATGATAATATTTGTTAATTAAAGATTAAACTAAAAGTTCGACCCAATTAGCGTGACCGCACCTACCAATATTGTTATTTATTATAAACAATTTAAATCTGTGCTATTTGGTGTATGTAATTACTGAATAACTTTAATGTCATGTATAGATTTATTTTTAATGAGACTTGTACTACACATTGTCTAACATTTACACTTAAAGATGCATTGTGTAAGAGCTAAATCTGCCTATTCTGGCTTCAGATCTTACAAAAATTATTATTTAGACATTTATTCACATAAAATGACAAGCCTTTAATCAGCTTTCTAGACTATCGGATGGCCGAGATTTTAATGAATTTGAACACCTTCCAGATTTAAAAATTTAATGATAAAATGGATAATTGAGACTGAGACTTAGTCTCTGTTGTCAAGTACCGTTGCTACAATGATAAATGATCTACGCTGCATCTTGAAACAGTCAAATCTATTCACTGACTGTTCAATATCTACTTTTGAACTATAGCAACAATGGCAAGCGGAATACTGATTTAGGAGGGATTATGTAGCGTTTTGAATACTGATTTAGGGGGGATTATGTTTCGTTTGAATACTGATTTAGGAGAGGTTATGTTTTGTATTGAATACTGATTTAGGAGGGATTATGATTCATTTTATGTGGATCAGATATATATATGTGTATTATTTGTTTGGTTTCCTAGGTCACTGACACAGGGTTTTTGCTTATCTTGTAAGAGAAGGAAATTACTGTGTAATATTCTAGCATCGTTTTCTTGCTACACTAAGAAAGATAAAAACTCTGAATGTGATTGTGAAATCCCAGTATTGGATCATTTTCCAAAGTAAATATTATGTTGACATTTTATTGTATAACTTACTTACCATGCCTTTTTTTATACATTCCAGGTTATCGACTGAAGTTTGATCTATGACCTATGGCTGCATTGCTGGACCACGCTATAACATGAAGAGAAGAAGATGCATGATAACCAGTATTGTATCGGTAGTAATCCGGCTATGTACCATTGTTGGAACGAATTGCCCGGAATCCAGCCAGCTTATATCACCAGCAAAGATAAACCAGGGCCACAACAATCTGATCAATGGAACGAGCATGCTTATCACAAAACAGAATCGTTTGCTAAAAAAACAGTGCCGTCGAAGACAGCTATTAAGACGTTCGAAATATCAGCACCAGAAACCAAAACTTCAAATCCATACAAGAGTTCAGTTTTGTACAGTAGGAATATCAACCCATCTGGAAATCTCTATGGAAGTAAAGAGCTACCCAAAGAGCAAAGACCCAAGGAAACAAATGTATCTGTGTCCAAGAGCGTTGGACCACTTGACAATTGGAGCACAATGATGTCTCTTCATGGTAACCGGGATCGTTATAAGGACAGAATTAGACAGGATGATTTTGATAAAAAGGACAGCAAATCTGCCAGACGTTCAGATCCAAGACTCACTATAGGTACCCTACATTACCAGGACAGGTCCAAAGATGTCCAGAAAACTTCTTCCAGTTTTCAAGGTTATGGTGCTCAAAGTGCTGCTGATTTTCCATTAAGAAATAAACATGATAATAATCCTGTCTTTAAGGTATCAAACACTAAAGGAACTGTGACAACATATCCAAGGTCTTATGCTTCCTGGAAATCCATGACAAAAGATCAAGATAAAAATGTTGATATGAAACAAAAAACAAATCCAAAGGGAGATCCAGCGAGACAGTTTCCCAATTATATTCAGAAATATGCTAAAAATATTAAAAAAAATAAATCTGATACCAGTCCTGATGTGGAACATTTGGAAGACATTTTAAAATCAAAGTATTCAAAACATAAACCAAAATGGGGTTCTGTGGATAAGTGTGAAGTGATGATAGACTGTGAGAATAGATTTGTAGAAAAGGTGGATGAATCTAGAACACAGGCTCGAAACATTCAGTATTATCATGAAAGTTCGGATAAATCAAAACAAGATTCTACAATTCTTGGACAGGACACCTCAAAGAGATTATCCAAGCAAACGGAATTTTCAAAGACTATTTGTGAGGTTTCAGAAAGTCAAAAAATCCCCTCAGAAAAATCTGCAAAGATTAATTTGCAAGCCACTTCTGTTGCTGATTCAGTGGTTGTCAACCCCCCATTATCAAAAGTGGATTGTGACAAAATTTGGAAAAGTAAAATTGTGGTGGAATTAAAGACACTCACTCTAAATCAGATAAACAAGTACAATTTAACTATTCCGAAGAAACAGGAGCTATATGAGGAGTTCAAAAAGTGTGATCAAAATCCTCAGACTGAAAAGGATATATCAAAAATTAAACAGAAAAAAGTTTCCAATAAAAAACTTCAAACAAGTATGTCCGATACACAATCAGACATCAAGTGTGAAAAAAATTCATTCGTGGAAAAAGTGGACATTACATCAAGTGAATTTGAATCAGAATCCAATATAAATCAAATTGTAAGCAGCACAGATTCAAAGAGCTCAGATGTCACTGTAAAATGTGGAACTTTTGTACCAAATGTCATAACTTCTGAGCCCAAACAAAATATTATGGTTACAAAAGAGGGGATGGTTTCTAGTAGGAAGGTTGCTGAAAATCCAATTACCAAAAGTTTTGATACAAGGAAGTCTGACAGGGAAAATTTCTTAAGTAGCATAGAAAAACAACTACATGATACAAAGCAACGTCTAGCAAATCCAACTAAATTTCTGGAGTCGTCTCTCTTTGTTGATCCAAAAGTGATGTCAATGTCAAAAACTCTACAAAAAGCTTGTAACACCAATTCGGAAGGTAGTTCACTGGCCTTTAAAGATGTTCAGGTCAGAGGATTGAATAATGTAAGATACAAAAACATGCTAGGGCAAGATCAGAAGTTTGATCTGGATAAATTAAGATCTAGATTCAAAGGAACACCAATTTCCAAATCATTATCCAAGGAGAAACATACTGGTGATGGTTTAAGGGCATGTTATACAGTGAGTACAGATAACCAAAAGCATGAGGACAAACAAAAGCATAAAAGCCAGTCCAAAATAGGCAGAAGAAATCATGTTAAAGTGTCATCAAAACTACTGGACTCAAGAAGTAAAAAAGCATTATGGTCAACTGCTATGAAGAGAAAAATAGCTATTGAAAGTGGAAGACCATTAAATAAGACATTGCCAATAACCAGGAGCATCAATTCTCCCCAAATGAAGGAGAGAGCATCTTTACAAATAAGAGATGAAAAGAAATCAGAGTATAACTCTGAACTTGCAGAAACTTTGGGAAACAGAGATGTGAAGTTGAAGACTCTGGAGGTGACTCTTGGAACAAAAATATCTTGCACAGAATATGAAAGAAAATTAGTCACACCAAAAATAGTTCAAGCTAATTCATTTACAGTATTCCCAAATACCTATAACTTGGAATCCAAATGCAGCCATGGAAATACTGAAAGCCAATATTTTAAATCATTACCAGAAACAAGTTTGGACACAATGGAAAACTCAGTACAGGAAAAAGCAACTCAAGGAAATAAAACAGACATGCCATTAAACTCAAAAGAAAAACAAGGAATAGATCATTATTCATCCGCAGAAACATTTACTAATAGGAAACCAAAACGTAATGGAGTAATCATTAAAGACATTAAAGTTAGGCATAATCCTATTCAAGATGGAAGTCAAATTAAGAAGCCAGTCAGGATTTCAAAATGGCACAAGAAGTATTCTGAGAAAGAATGTGTAACTTTAAACACTGAAAAAACTTTTCTTCCTGCAAATGACAATTTTGTGGATATAAACTTAACCGGTAAAACAGTTCCTGTAAAAGAATCTCCAGTTTCAGAAAAGATAGAACAGAATCCCATTTTTGACAAGAAAAATAGCGAGAGTCATAGTGAGAATTCCCATGAAAATAGTCTTCATCCAAATGAAGTCCAAGATGTTTTAATATGGCACAATGAAAATCAAATGAGTGATAGGACACTAAAAAATAAAAAGGAACTCATGAAGAAAACAGCGTTAAGTGGGCTGTCAGAAAATAGACAGTATGTATTTAATGAAGATATTTCAGAATTAGTTTCATCACTATCACAGAATCCAGTGTTATCAAACTCCAAGGACTCAATTGTATCAAACTCCAAGGACTCGACTGTATCAAACTCCAAGGACTCATTTGTATCAAACACAAAGTATTCTCCAAGTGAAGATGTTCCAGCGCCACAATCTTCGATAGCTAAAGAGTTGTTTCTTCCAGAAAAGCAGAAGAATTCCATATTCCAGTCCCCAGATACAGTCGCTATTGTAGATGCCCCTGTGTCTACTAATGATAAACTTGTTTCAGAGAAGCAAAGCGTTCTAGATCTGTCAGTGCATTCCACAGCTCTAAAATCTGTTGAAACTACTGCAGTAACTTTTGAGTTAAAAGAAGACATTGCAGGATTGCATAATCAAAGTAATGAACCATTAAATTTAGATATGCTGATGGTCAATGTGATAGAGGTAGAGATATCTGGTGAGGAATCTTCTTTTAACACAGAGAATTCTAAATGTGCTGATCCGGAAATCTTAGACAGAGATGATGTAAGTCAGAAATCAAATGGCACAAACAGCATATTTTCTCCAAAACCACTGTCAGAACAAATTCTTGCCGATATAGCCATCCCACTGCCAGTATTCAACATTAACAATAATAAAGATATTAAAAAGAGTTGTGTTCCTGATTTTCCTGCTTTGGATGAAGACAAATTGAATAACAAAACCGTTATACAGGAAGAATCAATTTTAGCTGAAAAACATCCCAAAGCTTTTGATATCTTACCTTCCAATTTAGTTTCTGGAATGACTGCAGAAAAGCCATCTCTCCAGTCAGATACTAAAAACGCTGATAATATCAACTGTAACCCCATTTCTGTGGACAATGTGGTGGATTCACTTGTGGAGAAAAGTTCTGGAGTAATCATAGAAAATCGAATGGCATTATCAGAAAGTGTAGAAAGCACTAACAAAAATACAGAACCCCACAAATCAACAATCAACCATTTGCCTACAGCAAAATGTACTGATTCAGCTGTACCAGCCAGTGATCATCTGAAAGATGCTAATGATGTGAACAAAGAACAACATGTGGAAGCATCAGTTAATGAATGCTCAGACCAAGTTGCTGTTGAAGCTGCTTCTGTCCTAATGAGTCTTTATTCCTCTGTTACACATCCCCTGAACAAAAAGTCTCAAAATAGAATGTCTGTGCAAGAATGTCCACCACAGAAGCACTCAGTATATGAAGATCATATCCCTGAAGTTCTTACAGCAGTTAAAAACATCCAGTCACCAGAGAATCAAAATAGATATTTCCAAAATATGTTTGAAGACAATAATATGAAAATACCTTTTGATAAAAAGCTATCTATCGAAGGCCACCCAAGTCATGAATTTTCTCTGGCAAGCATTGACCTGGGTGAGGTCCAAAATTGTGAATCTGCTGATTTGATCATGGAAGACGCTCATCCTAATACAAGGTCCCAACTTACTAAAGAAAATGTTGAACTTTTTGACAAAATAAATCATGACAACTTGAAAACGAAACTAGCAAATAAAATTACAAACAAAAGCAAGATAAAAACTCTCCAAGAGTTGGCATTTGCTAAGGTACCAAGCATAAAGGTAAATATTTATAAAGATGTAACCCAATTACCAAATGTAAAACCACATACTTTTCAATATACAAAAGAACAATCAAGCCCTTTTCAGCAGTCATTTGAGCACTTTTTGTCCAATCAACACGGCAAAATCTCAAAATCAAATGACAATAAATCAAAAGTTGTGTCTGAACATTCTATAACTTCTTCGGATATATTTTTAGAAAATGAGAGTTCTGATGATGCAATGAATTCTAAAAGTAGAACCAGGTCACTTTCAATGAATTCTTCTAGTGATAATATTATTGAGGAACTTGAAGAGATCCCTGTTCCTGTAGCTCCAGTGAGAACTCAAGAAGATAAAAGAGAGTCATCATCTGAGAAAAAAGAAACGTTACTCCAAGAAACTTCATCACATTCATTTGCTGATTTAGCTCCTATCAGTCCACCAATAATATTAGAAAATTCCAGTGAACATTCCACTTATAAATCCCCCCCAAAAGATGTTTATTTGGAGAATAAAGACCATGCTGTCATTGAGCAAAGAGCAGATTTGCAAAAGACAGATGCCACATTATTGCCCACAGATGTTAGCACTCAAGGAACTGTTAAATACACAAATCATAATTTCACTGAAACTTCATCAAAAAAAGACAGCTGTTTAGAGAATCAAAACCATGCAGTAGTTGATGAGAAAATAGAAGAAAGGCAGGGGAAAGATGGTGGATTATTGCCTGCAGACAGTGACATTTCCAGTGGAGATTCTTTTCAAAAAGATGTTTATGTTGAAAATGATGATCAACATGTACAAAGGCAAAAAGAGGATGCCAGTGTGTTGCCTGCAGATATCAAGACTGCAGAGAGGAATTCTGGGAGTACAAGCAACCTTGTCACAGCAGATGATGTACCTATTGCAGTGATGGCTCAATACCCAAAAAATAGTAAAAGTTCAAACAACAATAATGTAGAGAGACTGATGGACGATAGAGAACTTTTAAGACAAAGCTATAGTGATGACATTAACATCATTGCTAATGGTGATACAGAATGTGATGCCATAAATCCCACATGTTCGTTGGATTCTACATCAGAAGTCACAGATCCCAATAGTTCTTGCAATGAAGAAACAAGCTCACCAAGCTCTAATGCACAACCAAAAACAAAACTAACTTGGCATCAACCATCAACAAACTACAAGTCCTGTGCAAAATATTATGAGGGTGTTCCTTTGTACATCATGAACCCTGTGCCAGAGAAAAGACTTAGTTATGGTATGAAACTACCAGTTCAAGTTCTAATACCTGATGAAATGGACAAAGAATATTCGTTTGGAAAGCCAATTTCCGTTTTTGCAAATTGTCAAGCTGATACTATTAAAGCAAATTTAACTAAGAACATCAGTAGTGTTTCAGAAAAGAGGATAACTAGTGACAACCCCTCAAAATTAGTGGAACATTTGTTACAGATTAATGAATCGGACATAAATGTGCTAAATGAGGCTTATTCTCAGCATTCTGGTGAAAATACCATGCAAAATAATATCCCCATGCCGGTTTTTCTCTATAAATCTGGAAAAACCTCTGATGTTTCCATATCAAGTGCAACTTCTCTTAGTTCTGCTTCTTCTACCAAATTTATTCCTGTTTATTGTTCATTGGATTTATGTAGGGAAACAACGCCTGAAACATCGTGTGTTGTCACCTCCATTACTAGACCCATTGTATCAGAAAGAGAGTCAGCACCTCCTGCCCTGCCTTTGAATAAAAGGAAAGGAAACAAGGAAGTGGAAGAAAGGTCTAAATCCCAAATACCAGAAAATATGACCAATAAAACCATCAACCAAACTTCTTTTGGGGTAGAAAAAAGCAATAAAAATCCAGTTGAATCTGTATTGGTTAATTTTGAAGAAGTAAATGAAGCTAGTAGGACTGAAGTCTGTGAAACATCCAAGGAATTACAAGTTACTGCTCCCAAGCCCCCAAACACCGATAATGAGCACATTCATGAACCAGAATTACAACTAAATTTGCCTGCATTTTCAGAGTTAATGGAGACAGTATCAGAAACCTTTGAGGCAGCACCACAAAAAATACAAAATGTTTCAAATATATCTGTAAATGAGAAAGAAAATGCAATAATTGATCTAATCACAAATAACACTATACCTCATGTAACCGACTCCGGTAACTTAGAAGACAATGGCCAAGGTACTGATATCCAGCAAACAAATGAAATCCAAGAGATAATCGAATTCCAGACCCCTGACATCCAACAGACAACTGAAACCCAACAAACAGCTCATGCAGACATAGATACAAATGTTCCTCTGATCAATTGTGCTGATCAAGAAATAAGTTTTAAACCCAACACTCCAGGAACTCCTGTCCAAGATGAAAGTGATTTCCAAGCAGCAAAAACAAATGATAACCCAGAAGAAAATATCAGTTCTGTTCCAGAAGAAGTTATTTCTCAGATTGTGGAAAAAGAGATGCCAGTACCGCTTATTTCTGGTGATGAAAGTGAAAGAGTAGTCGAGTCGATCTCGGTCATTGATAACCAATTGGAGATGCCACCAACACCTATTTCAGTCACTGATAACCAATTGGATCAAGTGCCGGTTCTGTCTGAAAATGAAATTGTTGTTGATTGTCAAGAACTTTCAAATACTGTTGAAATTTGGGATAGTGTAAGCTGTGATTTAGATTCTAGTAGCTCCAAGGAAGAACTCAGTCCAGAACAACCAAATTCACCTCATATTGATGTGTCAATACCTCTAGAAAACTTGACCAGCTCTTCCAAGTTTTTGGTAGGGGCAATATCTAAACAAAACAGATCTACTACCGAGAACTGTAAATTATCGGATGGGTTAAGTCCTCCACATTTAATACAATTCAATTCAGTAAAAACTGGGAATGCCTCCATGGAATCAGACAGTATTAATCATGTATTTACCCAACCAGATACCGAACCAATATTTGAAGCTGTAGAGAAAACCAAGACTAGTTGTAGCACTGGAAATCAAGATTTGTCTGAAGAAGATGTTCAAAGTGATGAAACTCTTATATATTCCTGTGACGAAGTAGAAGATACACAACTGGATGATAGAAAAAAGAAACGGATAACAAAGAAGAAAATGAAGATGTCTAAAGTGGTAAGAAAACTCAGACAAGAATTGGGAGACAATAAATCATTTGTTACTTCAGATAACCAAAGTAGTCTCAAAATAAGAATTAGAAAGCGGAGACGATGTGAGGTGTTAAATTCGGTTGATGATAAACTATTGACAACATCTGATTCAGAACATGAACCAGAGAAAATCACTCCAGTTAATATAGAAGTGAAGGAAAAACCAAAGGCAAAGGAAAGGGTGTTACGGAAAAGAGGTAACCGATCCATATCTGCAAGTTCATTCTTAACTGCAATTAAGCCAAATGAGGTGACGCCAGACTACCAACATTCAGTTAGCTGTCCAAATCATGAGACTGATGTCAAGAAGAGAAAACACTCCAGATCAAAGCACAAGAGGTGTCCAAAGAACCAAAACAAAGTTGAAGATATACGAATAGATAGTGGTAAGTTGTTGTTTTGTTATATTAACACCCACAGTAAGGATCCACCAAAAATAAATTCAACCAAATAAAGCTGATAATATGAAGCAAATGCAAGCCATATCGTCATAGAATAGGCAAATTACTTTTGATATTTTCACTCTATAAGTAAATCGTTCTGATGTGTATAACAAGCTTTCAGAAAAACAAAATTCAGTAGGACCATGCTTCCAGAATCCCCTAATTGTCATGAAATCAACTGCTCATCACTTATTTGATAGATTTACCGGTAATTTCGTCTTTTTTTTTTATCTTGCTCTATTGTATTTTAAACATAACACATTGTCTCTTGACATACCACTGGAGATTCCTTAAGCAGCATGAAGTCTGTAAGACACATAATTAATTGTATATAAAAACAAGACAAGAAAACAAAAGTAATCAAATATTGATTTAAAATGAATCATAGTTCCAGTGACTCACAAGTGTATAGAAATGTAATAGGTGAACACTGTTGGCAATAGTACTGTACTTGTTACCTCCCTTCAATCTAAAATAGCAACTCTTCAAAATCGACTTTTATTATAAAATTGTAAATAAGACCACCACAATTTGATATTTTGTTCTTTGGGAACACTTGTTAAAAATTGCTTTTTTGCACTATTTAAAAGCTTTTTTTAAATTCCTATTGATTTAACTTTTGATATTTTAAGCTTAACATCTTTCATGTGATTCAAGTGGCTATTTATTTAGCAGAATCCCGAAGAACAGAAAAAAAACAAATTGGTGTGGCCTAAAGGAAGACCATACAACAATATTTTTATACATTCAACTTTTAATTTGTTCTGTTGTGCTCTCGCACCCCAGTTGTCTGTCCAATGTCTGGATAGTGTACATGTACATCAGAATGTTATCCACATGTGTAGTAATATTGTCTCTGTGACCATTATTATATCATTGACCGGTTATTGGTATCACATTCATAGACAAGGTATATCTCACATAGAAATATATTTGGTGGACCAAACAATTAAGGTAATGATAAACCCCCCCAACCTGGTCTATAGGGGGATGTTGATTCCATAATTGGAAATGTAGTTCTGTGGTCAGTCTATGATGTAAAGCAATTAATGTGTAGGACTATAAAAGAGGACGGATTAAGATTAGGCCAAACTCAGGCAGTCTGACATAACAACTAGTCGTCATAAAATATATATACTCCGCCCCGCCGGTATCATCTTTTGATCCAGTCTCCATGCAGATGTATCAGCCTGTCCAGATTTAATTACTCTCTAAGGGAGTGTTGCCGTACCCTTTTCCTGTTTCCATGTATATACATACTTATTTGGGAGCGAGGAGATTTGTGATTAACATTTGCTTCTAATTCGTTTCATGAAACATGGTCCTATATTGTCATTGGTCTGGTGGCCACAGACTAAAGTTAATGTTTGATTGACTTTAAATTTATAGTGTTTAAAGTCATGAGATGAAGAAGCCTATTTCCGATAATTACTGCCAGAGTTATGGCCCTTGACCACTTGTGGATGCTCCAGAGGCTACAGTGAATATCTGATTGACTTTTGACTTTAAATTTATTCACAGAGAGGCCTATTGATTTCCGATAATTACTGCTAGAATTATAGCTCTTGATCACTTTGAAAAATCCTTTGGACGTCTTAGATGCTACAGTTAATATCTGACTGAATTTGAATTGATACATGAGACAAAGAAGCTGATTGATTTACAAGGATTTCCGGTAATTACTCCCAGAGTTATGACCCTTGATAACTTTGACATATCTTGTAGATGCTTTAGAGGTGGAAGATATATCCAATTGACTTTACATAAGACAAAGAGGTATATTGATTTTCAGCAATTTCCAATAATTACTGCCAGAGTTATGGCTCTTGATTTACAATCACCCATTTCTTATCTGTGCTATATTTTCATTATGTCTCAATATATTTTACTAAAACTGCCTTATTTGTATAACTTAGTGAAAAGACTTTTAAAATGCAACTAATGCTCATCCACCAGTAAGACTCACTCTGAAACAGGGATGGCCAACCCCTGACATTGGATGCCATACACTACTGACATCAGCCATGGCCTAAATGGTAACGTGTGACACTGCGCGCCAGTCATAAGACTCTAGAATATAATAACTAATGCTCATCAGTAAGACTAGAAGATAAGTAATGCTGATCGATAAGACCAGACTATAACTAATACACATCAGTCTGATCTTCAAAACTGGAGGCATAAAATGTATTTATCATTCTAAATTGTCAGCTATGTAGGGTTATGGCCGTTATGACCAAAGTTTTTGCCTTTATGACCAAAGTATGATGCCAAATATATAATATTGCGCATGCCGTCATTTGTAAGCAAAAGGTTAGAGAAAGAGAAACCATGACATTAAAAACAATATTGCTCATAAACAATTTATTACTTTAATGATATATGTGGTACATAAGTAGAAAAAAATTATTTATGTGCCTCAATCCAAGAATCAACTAAAAGATTTTGATATGGTGTAAAATGTTATTTATTAACAATAAAACAAGTAAATGACTGTAAAAAAAAAATACAAAAAAAACCAAAACATTAATCAATATGAGCAATATAAATCAACAATGATTAATCAATGATACTGTGAAGGTTTTAATCCATGTTAAAGGATTTAACTCATGATATGTTACGTTACCCTTTATATAGCTACTTTACCCTTTATTTAAAATATTATTATGATCAAAAATATTAGAATAGGCTAAAAATATATTTTTAATGACATATATAGGCATAGAGGGCCAATCTCAGTTGTGGGTGCTCAGGCTATCTGCCCAAACATTTTCTTTGTAACCTGAATTTTCAGAATGAATCAATCATTAACTAAACGAATTTTCCACAAAGCTGTGATGATTGATTATTTTTTATTAATTACACAATTACACAACAATAGAAATTTACAATATTTTAAGGAAAAAACAACATAATGTTCCCCATTCTCTGATGTTTGTCCCCAAAATATGGAAATACATTGCCCGAAAATGGAAGCTGCAGCCCCACCAACCTCACCCCCCCACCCCACCTGGCTTCTGCGCCTATGTTTAATGATATAACTTCAAAGGTAAAAGTTCAGATTTGGCTAATAAAGTAAACTAATTTTTTATATATTTTTAGCCTATTTCGATTTTTTTCTTCATATATTATTGTCGTAAAGAATGACTTCCGACTTCCGACTTCTGACTCATTTCGATGTCAGACTAACCAGTCTGAATAGAAACTGTTAATAAATATTTATATAAATCGGCCATTGTGGACTCCAGAAATTCCCGAACCTCCCCAACCGGCCTACAATTAGAATTTCCCTTTTATTTCCTCCAGAAGTACAGAGAATCAAAATGGTGTGGCCTATCTACAATAAATTAAACGGTTGAATTAATCCATATTGTTAAAGCTAACTCTAGAAATAAACAGAGCATAATGACAGCTTTCTACTATTACTCAACTAAATTGTACTGTTTCCTGGTAGTATTGTATCAGTGCAGATCTAGAATATATTATATCCACGCTTATTATTAGAGAGAAAATGGGTTTGACGTCCACTCAACACAAACAAGGTCATTTTGGGATTAACATCTGGTTCAATTTTATTTCAATAATTCGCTTGCACGTAGGTGTCTTTAGCAGTGGAAGTATATGTTTTTAATATTCATATCGAATGTTTTCTTCACACGCTGTTCGAATCAATATTATTGAAATGAAAATATTATTTTATTTTTTTTTATTACATTTGATTCTTTATTATTATATTTTTGCTATCGCCTCTAGGCAATAAGCATTATATTGATGAAGCAATAGAAAATGTTTAATATAAGATTTTAAGTAGGCCATCAGGATAAAACAATTTAATTTTTCGTTCTTTGGGGTCTTAATACATAAAGAGCCACTTGAATCACATGAAAGATATTTTGTTTAAAATTGGAACTAGAAGCTTTTGAACAGGGCAACCAAGTAGCAAATCAACACTAATAATTAAAGATACATTCCCATGAAACTATTTATAGGGTAGTTAATTCCACTAAAAATATGGCAATTTTGGTATAAATGGAAACCCATTCTTACTTGAAAAATACTAGATTCCCTGAAAAACACCCATGGGGCATGCACATGAGGATATCCCTAAAAGGCAGCCTATCTCCTTGATTGACGTAAGGAATGCATCTTTTGTGTTGATCTAGGCTAATGGTTGCAGGAACATTTGATGTATATATGGAAAGTAGAAACACACAATCATACTTAAATCTACAATTTACTTAGTTTCACTATTTATGTAAATGGACAGCGACTAACGACAAATACATGCTGGAAATTGATTCTGCCTCAACCAAAGCATATGATAAATAAGGCTGATAAAAATAGATTCTTGGGTAGTTTTCTTTCGGTTAAAACGTTTTGAGAGTGACTTGAAGCAAACTTTTGATAGATAAATTAGTTTGAATATGTTTTTAATCCAAATATATCATCAAATCTCACAGATTGTAAACAGAAAGGCATCTTTAACTTATTTTATTCAATATCGGTTTATTAGGCATTTAAATAGAATCCATCATTACAAATATCACACATGAGATGAAAATAAATTTAGGTACAGCAGACGACCTTGTTATGCTCAACGGAACATATCTTTGATGGGAGATGTGTCATGTAATATTTGTATTCCTATATTTCATGTGACTTCCTGGTATCCTGGACATGTTTTATTATATGTACAATGTATTTTATCAGATAAACAGTTTTATGGTTTAGTGTACCCGCTCTTGTGACCAAGGAAGTTTGGGGGTTTATATCAAGGTATATTGGATGGATTTATTGACAAAGCGTTATTTAAAAACAAATAGGACATAATTAGGGACCAACGCAACAGGATTTGCGTCCAAATGAATAACCAGTGGAAACTGGGTGGGTGGGGTGGTGTCAACAACACTGCGGATAAAACTTGATAAATTGAATGTTGATTT